TTCACTGTCGAATTAATACCATTTTGAGTTTTTGATGAAATATTAGCAGTGGCCATAAGTTTCGGTTGTTCATTTTCAATTTCTTTTTTTCTTTTCCAAGTTGGACTGGTATGTATTCGTTTCAGTTCACCAGGAGATAAAAAGCCAAGTTTTGCATCATTCTTTTGACGAGGATGACCACAGCCAGAATCAATACCCGCATTTATATTGATGCCACCATCTCTTTTATTCAATAAATGTTCCAAATCACGATCACACGGTTGTCGAATAACAGACATTTTATCAATTTTATAAAATTTATGAAGTGAATAAAAGCGAAAAATGTAATGTTGAAATCTGATATAGCAAAATCAGTTATTTCTTAGAGCTATATATACATCTCTAGCATAATGGACTATTGTATTACAAAAGCAAAGAAAAATATAGTTGTAAACACTAATTCTCTCATTCTTTTTCATTCTTCTGACATTCTAAAGTGAACAAATCGCTTCTTGTTGATCTAACACATGATTCATGCCTTTGAAAAGATATTATCTTCTTACGTGCTGAAAATATATCGTACAGACAAAAAACAGAGAGAGACACAAGAACAGTCACAGAACTGTTATTTCAGTCGGAGAGAGAACATGTAAATGTATGAAAGACTATAGGCTACTATGTCAGATAGATTTCTACTTTTAGAGTCTCACACGTGTGACGCATGATACTTTTTAACTACATCACAGTAGATTTCCACGTGACTGTGTCTTACGTGAATGGTCGTTATATGTAAACTTTATGAATATCAGCTACATATTTCTTAATCTTAAACATTTTGGTATTGAACTTATTCTAAGGTTGGTTTTAGTAAGTTTGACTTGGTTTTTCAAGGATTTCATAGAAAACCTTCTTGAAAAACAGATTTTAAAGATTATTTTGCTTATAAAAACATACCTCCAAGTCTCCTCTTTCCAATGGCAAAAACTATTTACTTATCTTTGTTGAGAAGTTACTAGAAAAGCTTGTGTTGATCCTGTGTTCTGAAAGGGGCAATAGAACAGTAAACAATGTATGTTTTATCTTTCGTGATTTTTATCCTGACACACCTTCCTCATATGAGACTTGTGGACCTACAATGCCTTTTGGCGATTGATCTACTAATAAACGCGTTTAATCAACAGTAGACAATGAACAGTACAAAATGGTCACAAATTCGCCTTATACTAAAAGTTATGAAACAATCAAAATGAAGCTCTTGTACCTACTACATTAATACAGATGACGGTTAATATTCTTCTTCTCTGTAATTCGACAACGTCTATCAAATATCTTGTCAACTTGACTTTGAGAGGTATGGCAATTCGGCAATCTTACACAGACTATTCAAAATGTTATTTAGTTCAAAGGCGACTATAAGTTTCAGGCGATTTTTGATCATAAAACGGGATTTGTATGAGCTTACAGAGGAAGACCATGCTCTATCCAGTGGTGTATATTTTGTGCTAATCCTAATGTGTACGTTACAGAACCCTGACACATTTTTAGAAATTTTTTTATTTTTTGAGTTAAATATTGTGCATTATAGAGTAAAGTGCCCTCTACAGAATAAGATCACTCACAGGTCTACAAAATATTCCTTTGAAGAGATACAAATTTTCAAAGTTGTTATTTTACGCTGAAAAAATTCTATTTTTTTACTTTGGAAACTTATTTTTCTTCCATTCAGCAACTTTTCAAACAGTCAGTCTTGAAGAATAAAGATGTCTCTACAAACTGAGATGCCTTCCGGCTCTCCACCTTTCTGCTAGAGTTATGATCATTTGCTGAAAGCCTTTGAAAAAGTCACAGTTGTAATATAACAGCCACAATGATCAGACGACAAAACGTTTTCAGTTGTGTATAAATAAGAATAGTGTTCTATTAGATTCAGATTTAATATTTCAATTTGTATTGATATATCTCAACCATTGTGAGTCACCATACATATTTTCTCTTTTATTACTTCAACTGACGATTACATGGGATGTTTTGAAAGAATGGAGAAAAAAAAAATCTTCACGATGTTCTGCTTATCGAATAGTTATACTAACTGTTTGATTGCTATAACGAAACAAAAGAAAGACAGGTTTCTTCGTTACCTCTACGTGACCAGTCGAACGAAAAAAAAAAGAGAAAAACAACATTCAAATACAATCAGATAGGAGAGCATAAAAATGAAAGTAAAACATCTGCGTTTGAGAAAGTTTTTTTTGTGACACTCATAGAGCCATGTGTTCTGATTTCACTTTTTATTGATAAAATGTATGAAACACTTTATTTGTGATATGTATGTCAAGAATCTCTCGGACAGAACAAGTACTATTCTCTTGTTTCTTTTTCTGTTATTTGTATTATTCTATCATGTATTATGATATATGATTCCATTCCTTTCATCTCTACTTTATATAAACGATTATGTTATTTTGATATTATCGGAAACAAGAAACATGGGTTGATTGTTGTTAAATACAGATCTTATTTACGAGGGAATCTCTCGAGATGATACTACGCTTTTTGATCGAAACCTAGTGAGTTATAGGTTATCGACCATGCTGATTACGAATATGACCATGGAGGCTGCCCTTAGGCCTTCTAAGACCTGATTTTCTAGAAAACCAGTTTTTCAGAAACTCTAAAATGTAACCCAAACCTTTCTTAATGAGGCATGATTGTAGCCCCTGAATTTATGATTAAAATGAGATATCTCCCAGCTCTACATGACCTTTCTTTGCAAAGTTATAGAACTTACAAGAAAAGCCCTAAATTAATTTCTTCGCAACATGAAGCTGACTATGAACATTAAGGGCTTTTTTTGTAAATTCTGCAACTTTGCAGAGAAACGTCCTGTAGAGCCGGGAGATGTCTCATCTTAATCATAAATTCACGGGCTACAATTATGCCTCATTAAGAATGGTTTTGATTATTTTTTTAGAGTTTCTGAAAAACTGCTTTTCCAGAAAAACCAGTCTCTTGAGGTCCGGCGGCTCGTCTCATGTTAATATTCAG